AACAGTCAAAAATGAAACTGCATTGTCCAGAATAATTTATAGGGAGGATACATCTCAGCCTAAAGACTCATTTGATCAATGGGGGAAGATATAGAACTATCATTAACTTTCATTTCTTTCTTTCAATTAACCTGAGATGTATAGAGTACAATGATAAAAAAGGAAAAGAAAGTGAAAACTTCTGTATTTGTAGTAAGAAATTTAAGGTTCCAAGTCCTGAGTTCAAATTCTGATTCTTCCACTTAATATCTATATGATACTAAGCAATTCACTCAATCTCTCTAGACCTTAAGCTTCATTTAAAAGCAAGTAAGTGTGTTGTAGGACAGATGATCTCTAATAGTCCTTCATACTCAAAATCCTATAAAAGTTATGCTGAAGTAAATTTATGTCCAGTCTTGGGATATAGCAACCTGTTGTCAGGCTAGAAAAATATAGCATGTGCTGGGTCCAATTGCCAATAAGAATCTACAAACCCTAATAGTTCAGTGTTTTCCCTTGGGTTCAACTAGCAGTAAATCAGGTTATTGCAAAAATATGAATATTTTTTCAAAACCTATTCTAATGGAAAATGAATAACCTATAATAGAAACAAGCATTTCCTTTGCTGCTTAAGCAGATATCTGAAAAAACATGTAGTAAAATTGCATTGAGGCTCTGAAGAAAGAGAAATTTACCAGAGAAGGGCTGAGGGAGATGAGGTTCGGTAAATCTAGAAACACCAAGAATAGTATATTATCCAAAAGTGATTCTAGAGCTATTAAAAACTTATAATGGTGTCAAAGAACTCCCCTCCACTTAATTCACAAAATATGAAACACCAAAATATATTTCTTTTGACTAATTCCCATTTTAATAAGAATAGAAACAAATGAAATAAACAGTTATTCAACTCAAGGGATGTTAATGATGTTTTCTTCTTTAGAATTACAGTAAATCCAGCTGTTCATCTTGCTTATCCTTATGCTCAAAATAGAAAGAGGAAATAAAGATTCAAGAAGCCAGAATAGTACTCCCTTCAAAATTAATTAATTCAGGTTACAATTTAAAGCATATAAATATATACATATGCATATAATAGTAATACAGTTCACTGTGTGAAGTCACTTAACACAATTTTTTAAAAAATCTAACATACATACAATGAACAGCTGAAAGAACTGGGTATGTTTAGTCTGAAGTAAAAGATTAAGGGGAGAGATGATGGGTCTGCAGGTATCTGAAGATACTATCATATGTGAGAGAGATTCTATATATTCTATGTAACTCCAGAAGGCTGAACTGAATCACTGGGTGGAAGTTTCACGGAGGGAGATTTAGGTTCAATATAAAGGAAAAACTATTTAACAATTAGACTTGTCCAAGAAGGAATAGGTTAGAAGTGTTTAAACACAAACTACAGAAATGTTTCCAGGATACTGTAAATAGAGTTCCAGCTTAAGTGTGAGATTAGGTTAGATGACCTCTAAGATCTCTTTGGAATACAAGATTCAATGATTCAATGATGCAATGAAGTGTTTGGATAGAAGTCTTTAATATTGAAAAGTATGTCAATACCATGAACACTTAAAAACATATTAACATAATAAATGTCTCCAAATAAGCCATTTCAGAATGTGGATTACATAGCCCATTATGCCTTGAGCAATAATCAAATACATATTTAATACAGTATATTAATACAACTTTTAATCCCCTAAAAAACAATGATCCATGTTAGAATCAACCCATTTGGTTAAAGAAAAATAAAAACTAAAACATTGAACGTTCTTAGGACGTGTAAACAACTTTCATATATGTTTGTTAGTTATCTATAAATCTGGTCTTAAAAATAAAATAACTTTACACAAACTCAAAACCTGGGTAATTTTTAAACATTAATCTCATTTTTTAAGCTAACCTGTTGTTCCTAGACTATTGTACCTACTCTTACTTGCCACTCTCTTCTCTCCCTGGCTCCTCATTAACATGCAAGAAAAATATCTACTGTTCTTTGTACAGTCACTAACTTCTTAAGGGTAGGGAAATATGGACATGACTATTATAGGTGAAGGAAAGACAAAGCAGTAAGAAGAGGAAAATAAAATGTAAGACTCAAAAATCCAAAAAGATAATTATGTTACCAAAACCTGCCTGGTTTCCAGACAAAGTCATTCTTTGGGTTAGATTTATGTTGGGTATGGTATGGGGTTCCCATAGGTCACCTAAAATCTACCGGTTATCATCCTAACAAGTTTGAACCACTTTCGACTCACATCCCAATTTAAGACCCTAATAAGAAAGGGTCCAACCTGGGAATCTCTTGGGAACATATATTGCCTTTCAGTCCTAAAGGACTAAGACTTAATATGACTATTTTTAAAAGGTTCTAGAACTGATCTAGTTCTCCCATACTCCTTCAACTAAGGCAGATTACAGAACCAGGTTGAACCTCTGAAGCAATTCTCTTGGACATATAATCAATTTGGGCCCTGAATTCAACCATAATTTTATAGATGTCAGAATACAGCAAGTCAAATAACTTGCCCACATTATTGCATTTGTATCCAGGTTGACCAGTATGATGATTCTTTTAGTCCTTGGATGTTCATTTATTGTTTGGTTCAGTTCTTTTTTGTATGTTGTATGTATCTTGTATGTTCTTGAAAACATACTTACAACAGACCAGGTCATAGCAAAATAATAATAGCTAGCATTTACATAGCAAAGCACTTTACAAATACTCTCATTTGATCCTCGAAACAACCATGGGAGGTAGGTGACTTTCCCAAGGTCACACAGCTAGTAAACGTCTGAGGCTGTATTTGAACTCAGGTCTTCCCAACTCCAGGTCCATGGCATCAACTCAAATCCCCTCCCAGGCAGTCAGTCAACAACGATTTACTAGGTGCTTACTATGTGCCAGGCACTGTGCTCCACAGTGAAATAGAACACCAGATCTTACCCCAGTTCAGCATGTATTCAGGATCAGACTAGAATTTAGAGGATGAAAGATGAGACATTTCCTACTGAGAAACTTCCTTACACATGGAACTGGTGAGTTCAACTTAAAACATCAGCACCTGCCAAGGATGTGCTCAGTCACATTTTTTAATTGAAAATTTACACTGGATTGAACCCAAATGTAAAAGTTGTCCATTTTGCTTAGAAAATCAAGAGATACACTGCAAATCTACCATTTTATTCAGTACCAACACAGGTATACAACACTACTGTTGTAGTTTACAACTATTTGGTTTAATTATATTACATTCATGAGTAATAACTTTTAAGATTCTTCTTTAGAGACATTACTAGAAAAGGTGAAATTTTGGCATTGAATTTGTAATAAATATTACAAATAATGGTGGCAGATTGCCTAAGGGATGAAATCACAACTGAGTACTTATTTTAGCACAACTTCATTTTGGTAACAGCATTTGACCCTAACCAGGTGTTACCATAATAGATATCTGCCCTAACTGAAGCAAGAGTTTCCTTCTCAAATGCAAAATAATTTAAATGACAAGTACCAGAACCAAAAAAAAGGAGATACAAATATTATATAGGAAGCTTCATAGCCCACCTTTCTTCTTGATTGGCATTCTTGGATCTCTCAGCTGTCACTGGATTCAAGGACTTGTTTACAGGTATCAACTTTATCCAACTGGGCTAAAGCCAAGAGCCAGGTGGCTGTTGCAAAGAACTTCTTCTGCTCAGTCTTGAAATCCAAGCTCAGTCTTCATTTTCACCAAGATAGGAAGTAATGTTGAATATTTTTTCCACAATTAACTTTTAACACCTCCCACAGAATTTAGAGAAAAAAAGATTGGAGTTTCACAAAAGTGTCTTTCAATTCTTATAAAATATTTCTTAATCTATAAAAAAACTGAGAACATTATTGTTGGTATAGCAAACATTATTAGAATTCCTCTTCAGGCAGCAAATTTGGTGTAAGTTTAATGACTCAAGACACAACCCAAATTTAAACAACTCTCAATACTCTACAAAATCAACTTCAAAGCCATCCAAATTTAATGATAAAAGATGCCCAGTTCTAGAGAGGAGAAATTTTCAGGAAAAAACAACCAAAAAAAAACTTTTTTTTTTTTTAAAGCAAAGTTCTTTGCCTCTGGTTTCTGAAAAGGGGGTGAGTTTGAGATGTTCCCTGGGACTGAAAGGCCGGTTTCTATTCACTGGACAAGAAGTTTCCAATCTCACTCCCTCAAATCAGACAGCATCCAGGTTGCAGTCCCTTTCATTTTTTCCCGTTCTCTGCTGCCCAAGCCACCCAGGCTTGCTCTCTAATGTCACTCTGATCCTCCCATGTATTAACCGAGGGAGAAGGCAAGCGCTGCTTTGGCATGGAGACATTAAAGTGACAGCGCTACTCAATGGGCACTGGATGCAGTATGAGTTGGCGGAGCAGCCTTCTTCACACTGGAGCCATTCACATCATGCCATCTCGGCTCATCCAAGCAGCTGCCTGACCAGTGAGGAAAAACACAAGACCCCCTTTTTCCAAAGGAAAAAACCCAAAGCCCAAACCTTCCCCAGGGGGTGCCTCGGAGATGCGGCAGCGTTAGCCTTGGAAGCACGAGCCGTGCAATCGGTCCGCTCTCTTCCCCCAAAGAAAGGGCTCAGCTGCTTGGCCTCACCATCCACCCTTCCTCTGCCCCCACCCCCAGCCCTACCCGCACTGTCGCCTCTGGCAGGAAGGGGGAGAAGGCTTTGGGGGGCTCTTTCGCCGCCACATGCACACACTATGCCCAAGCCCTGGGGGCCCACACCCCTGTCTGGCAGGAGAGGTGGCAGAGCCGTCGTGCTGGAGGAGCAGCAATTATATAACTCGCGTTGGGGGCTCCAGGAAGATGGAAGGAGGTGCGGGTTCGGCTGGGGCTACGTTGGCTAGGATGCCTGGGGCGGGGGGGAGTGGAGGGTGCACGACTACGCCCCGAGGGTCCCCAACCCGGGCGAGGAGCAAACTCGGCGCGGGGTGAGGGGATAGGAGAGCCTCTCAAATGGGCAGGGGTCTGTCTGTCACTTCCTTTGCTGGGGGGTGGGGGGCACAGCAGGTAGGGGTGCGGGGCGAAGGTGACAAAGGAGGGTTCGAAATGTGGCCCCTGCATTAGGGTTTGGGAGACGCGGGACCCGGAGTCTGCTCCGGGTCTACAGAAGCCTAGGGGTACCCAGGCCTAAAGGCAGGAGTGGTTGGAGGGAGAGGGGGAAGGTTCATCCTGAAAAAGGGAGGGGGAAGAGTGCGGAGTTGTTGCCTGGCCAACGCAAAGTGGGCGGGAGCGACCTGCCCGGCCTCTCCCACAAACCAATGAACGGCCGCGGTTCCAGGGCAGCAGAAGCCAATTGGAATCCGAAAAGAGGGCGCGGCTTTTGACCGTAGTGGGTGGGCCTCCCTCCCTCTCGCTCTGGGGACTGGCTAGGGGGCGGGGCCTGGGGCCAGCGCTCGAGGGACCTGTACTACCATAGGTCATGTGAGCGCCCAAGATGGCGGCGCCCAGGCGTGAGCACCGGGAGCATCAGTGAGCGGCCGGCCGTGGTCGCGGAGCGTGGAGACGTAGGCGAGGTATCGGCGTGGGCTGTCTGCGGGCGAGCTGCGGCGGGGTCGAGGGCCGTGGAGGGTGGAGGTCAAGCCTTAAGCCTGACCAAGCCCTCCGAGCACTAGCTGCGAGGTAGGAGGTGCGAACACGTCCCTATTTGTAGAGGAGGTCGAGGCTCAGAGAGGGTTTGTTTTCTGCAAGGGCACACTGGGGACCAGTGCAGGGCATGTGACAGGCTCCTAATTTTTAAAAACATGTTTGATGAGCTGCTTTCCCAAATTCTCCTCTCCTAATCATAGTGTAAATTTGGAGTTGGAAGGGTCTTAGAGGTTATCGAGCCCAGTCTCCTCATTTTACAGATGAGAAAACCGAGTCCCAGAGAAGTAAAGTGACATATCAAGGGATAAACTGCCTATGAGTGTCTCGGGGAAGGATTTGAACCCATCTCCCTGACTGCAAGCCCTGGGCTCTCTGTCCACAGCCCATACAGCTGCCTCCGTGGTGTTCTGTGAGTGATTACTTGGCGAAGAAGTGGTAGAAGGGATTGTATTTTAGAAAGGAGTAGTTAGGTGACGCCTGGAGTCAGGAACAAATTCAAATCCCAGCTTCAGACATTTCCTAACTTTGTGACTCTGGGCAAGTCATTTAACCTCTGTTACCTCAGTTTTCTCATCTGTTTAAAAAAAAAAAAAAGATGGGGGTAGAATAATAATAGCACCTACCCGTCAGAGTTGTTATGAGGACCGAATGAGATAATATTTGTAAAATGCTTAGCACTTGGAGGCTGGCACGCAGCATGCACAATATAAATGTTTGTTGTTGTGATAAAAGTTGAGAAAATAAAATTGAATTTAAAAAAAAGAAAAGTTTGATTATAGGTGACTGCAGAAGTTCCGTCTAACTCTGAGACTGTGATTCTCTTGTCTAGCTGATAAATTCGGGCAAGTCTGGTATAAAAGAAAGTCTTTTAGATTTGTAGTCAGAAGACCTAGGTTCAAATCCTGATCTTGTACTCAGCTGGCAAACCACTTCTCTGAGCTTCAGTTTCATCCTCTGTTGCTGTTATTTGTCCTTCATTCTTGAAGAGGACCATGACATCAGGGAGTGATGCCATGACATGCAAATGAATTGGATTTAAATGAGGGAGAGCTGTGCAAAGTCACAGATTCACTTTCTGCTCTGGAACCACCCTGTGTCCAGTGGCCATGATGTAGATCAGGACAACTGGAGATGGCCCTGGATGCAGTAGGGACCTTAGCCTTTTCCAGCCAAGATCTTTAACAGGTCTCAGTTTGACTGACTGAGGCAATGCCCATTCAGATAGGAGGAGAACCAGGAGAAAAGTGTCATGTAAACCTAGACAGAAAAGATTATCATTGAGAAGAAAGTGATCTACAGTCTCAGGCTGCAAAGAGGTTAAGAAAGATGAGGATTAAGAAAAGGCCATTAGATTGGTAATTAAGAGGTCACTAGTAACTTTGAAGCCAGTAATTTCAGTTGAATGGTAAGGTTGGAAGTCAAGCTGCAGAATTAAAAGAGTAAGAGTAAATGAATTGGATTCATTGATTGTAGATAGTCTTCTCAAAGAATTTAGCCCCAACCAAGAATTGAAATTGAGGGAATGCCCATCAATTGAGGAATGGCTGAATAAGTTGTGGTATAAAAATGTAATGGAATACTATTGTTCCATAAGAAATGATGAGAAGGTGGACTTCAGAAAAACCTGGAAAAACTTACATGAACTGATGCTGGGTGAAGTGAGCAAAACCAGGAAAACATTGTTTACAGTAACAGCAACATTGTGTGATGACCAACTTTGAAAGACTTAGCTCTTCTGAGCAATGCAATGGTCTAAGACAATTCCAAAGGACTCATAATGGAAGATACTATCCACATCAAGAGAAAGAACTATGGAGTTTGAATGCAGATCGAAGCATACTGTTTTTCTTTTTTTTTTTTTCATTCTTGTGGTTTTTCCCTTTGGTTCTAATTCTTCTTTACAACGTGACTAATGTGGAAATATGTTGAATGTGATTGTACGTGTATAGCCTATATCAGATTACACATCATCTTAGTGAGGAAGGAGGGGACAAAATTTAAAACTCAAAATCTTATAAAAGTGAATGTTGAAAACTAAAAATAAATAAATATTTAAAAGGGGGGGGGGAGAATTTAGCCACAAAAGGTGTTAAATAGAAGCACTAGAACCTGGATTCAGTCGAAGGGCTGCACTTGAAGGACTAGAGGGCCACATGTGGCCTCAAGGCCACAAGTTCCCCACCCCTGCACTAGAATAACAACTCAGGTCTTTTAGTTCAAAATTCAATAGGTTGGTTTTCCCCCCCACTGTACCATACTGCCTTTCTTTCATGCTATCTTTCATGTCGTGCTATTGGGATTAAATAGATAAATGTATGTAAGGTTTGGACTTTGGAGAAAAAATATATATATGTGTGTGTGTATATATATATATAAAAGCTCTTATTTATTGTTTCCACAAACATATATATATAAGCTCTTATTTATTGTTTCCGCAACGCCAGGATCTCTCAGGTTCATTCTCTCAAACTTCATAGTTTAATTATAATAACTATTTACATATTATGTACATTTACAATTAGTCTACCATCACCAAACAAAACCAAAACACTTTCTACTTAACATCACATTCCAACTCCTTATAAACTCAGTACTCAAATTTTCATTTATTCCCTCTTACCTGTTTCATTTCCCTCACCCTTCTTTTCTAGACTATGTTTTGTTCTTTCACCAAATTCTCCCCAGAAAAGCTAGTTATAGACTTTAGCTTTTTTTTTCTTTTTCTTTTTTTTGGTCTCAGAGGGACTTAATCTTCAAAATAGCAATTCTCTTTCACCTTTTTTTCATTAAGACCTCAGAAAGACATCATGAGAGGCAATTTGGTGTAGTGGATAGGGAGCTTTCCTGGAGTCAAAAAAACCTGTATCCTTGTACTGCCTCTGACACATACTGGCTGTGGAACTCAGGACAAAGGTCACTTAACCTCTCAGTGCCCCAGGAGTCTGTTTTAGGACTATTAGTTGCAGCGATAGCTTGGATCTGCTTTGATAGAGGAAGTTACTTACCTGGAGCTCCCTGAAGGAATGAAATCTTAGGACTGGTCCAAAAAACAAAGGCATCATAAAATCCTTCTTTATGTCCCCACCCTAATCTTCAATAATTCATTTCAACAAAATTTATTAGCATGTTCTGGGCCCTGAAGATACAAAGTTTAAAAAAACACGGCAGACCTTACCCTCAGGGTTCCATCCTTCTAAGAGGATATAACCTGTGCACAGATAAATTCCAGGTAATTTGATAGAGAACAGTAGGGAAGACTTGTTAGGGTATGGGGCACCTGCACTGAGGCTAACTAGCTCCTCATCTTTTGCTAGCAAACCTTCTAAAACCAAGGGTTACTATGTGACCTCCCCAGAGCCTTGTCTTGGCTAAGTGCTCTCTTTCTTGCCTACGAACATTGTATTGCCTTTAACCAGCACTTTCTTATATAAGACACTGCACATGACACACCAGCATTGTCCTAGTTCTATTTCCTGCAGGCTCTTCAGAATCTTTTTATGTCCTTACTCTCAAGTCCAATTTCTTTTTTTACATATAGACATCCTTTGATTTAAAATATATTTATATATATGTAATACCTTTCTGGTTTCCCATTTTAGGCCTATGGCCTTTATCAAAACTCTGCTCTACCATTATCTTCACCTCATTTTTTTTTTGGTAGGTTGTCTGTTTCTTTTTCCAAACTCTTTTTCAGCTGCAGATTATTCCCCATCTGACAGTCAAGGCAATCAGGTGAAATTTAAGGTAACCCCTCTTCTCCCTCCCCCCCAAAAAAAAGAAATTAACAGAATTTTACATAATAATAAAAATCCAAGAGGACATAACAGAAAGGGAAATACTATTCAAAATAATTCCAAACTGCAAAAATATTAAGGGATCACTATAAAATACACAAAATACTTATATATAATTCAGTACAAAATTCAATACAAAAGAAATAAAGAGCTGGAGGAATATTCAGTGCTCATGGCTAGGTCATGCCAATATAATAAAAATGGCAATGTGACCAAAGTTAATTTACAGTTTTAATGCTGTGCCAATCAAACTATCAGGATATTTTATGGAACTCAACAAAATAATAACAAAATCCATTTGGAGAAACAAAAGGTCTAGAATATCAAAGAATATCATTTTTTAAAGGTAGGAATAAAAGGGAAATAGCACTTCTAGACATTGAACTGTATTGTAAAGCTGCAGCCATCAAAACCATTAGGCATTGGTTAAAAAAACTGATCAATGGAACAGACTGGGAGAACCAGGGATAATAGAACTCAGTAACCCCAGTATTCAATAAACCTGAAAACATAAATTAAGAAAGAGCTCCTTGTTTGATAAAAACTGCTAGGAAAACTAGGAAGCAGTCTGAAAGATATGAGGCTTAGACCAACATCTTAAACATTTTCCACAATAAATTCAAAATAGATTTGTGAAATGAATATTAAAGATACCATAAAAAATTAGAAGAGAAATAGATCATATATCTTTCACAGCTATGGGGAGATTATATTTTCTTAACCAAACAAAGGATATAGGCAATTACAAAAGATAAGAGATAACTTTAATTACATGAAACTGAAAAACTTAGACACAAATTTAATGGGTTTTGCATAAGAAGGGAAGCAGTCAAAATTTTGGATAAAATTTCTCTGGTAAGGGTTTAGTATCTAAGATATATAGGCACCTGATAGATATAGATACACACATATGCAACTGGGTAGCTCAATTCAAATTTTTCAGAATTCATTAGGTTGGGTTTTTTCCCCTCACTGTACCGAACTGGACGTAAAGTCAGGAAGACCTGATACCTTAGTCAGTTACTAGCTATGTACCCTGGGCAAGTCACTTAACTTCTGTCTGCCTCAGTTTCCTCAAATCTAAAATGGAGATGATAATAATAGCCTAGCCTCACAGAGTTGTTGTGGGGATCAAATACTTGTAAAGAGATTAGCACAGTGCCAAGCAGAGTAGACACTTAATGATCCTCATTCCATCCATCTATCCTCACATATATGTGCCAGAAAGCCACTCCCCAATAGGTAAAGGTCAAAAGATATGAACAGTTCTCGAAAGAAGAGTTACAGGCAACTACGTGAAAGAATGCAATGTTTAATAAATGAAATGCAAATCAATACCCCCCTGAGGTTTCACCTTACATGCAGCAAATTGGCAAAGATGACAAAAGATGGGAATAGTGTTGGGGGAGGGGTGTGGGAAGATAGGCACTCTCGTGTATAATTGGTGGAGTCGTAAATGAGTACTATGAGTTTGGAAAGCAGTTTGGAATTAATGTCATTTCTGGTGCTCAAATCCTATCAGTTTCTGATGTTAAATCATTTGACAGTGCCAAGGACTTTGGTGGCAACACCTTTCTTTTCTGGGTCTTTAGTAGCAGGGCCTGTAGCCCCTGCAGGAGCAGTGGCCTGGCTGCATCTCACAGGGGCTATTTCCCAGGGTAATAGCTGAGGGCACTGGGCTGGAAGCGCTGCTAGTGCAGACTTCTTAGGTTCTGGGTCCTGGGCTGTCTCCATCAGTCTCTGAGGAAAAATGATGATACAAGGCATGGGGGTAGGGATTTGACTTGTTGCCTCCTATCTCTTCTACAGGGTACATTGAAGGAGTACATTGCTGATTCAGGCGGGCTTGTTGTCTGCCCTGTGTGTGGCAATTGGATAGCTGGCTACTTTTCCACAGTAGTTGTTTGCCTGGATGATGGCTGTAAGGTCTAGGCTGGAAACAGTCTAGGGGGTGCTTATGCAGAGAAAGTGACTTAATCCCTGGGTCGACACCTTTTTACCCAGAGATAGACACATGACCCAGGAGGTCATTGATAAGAAGAAAGTTCCTGTATACACCAAAATATTAGTTTTTGTGTTAACAAAGAACTGGAAACAAAATGGGTACCCATCCATTGGGGAATGGCCAAATAAATTTTGATACAGGAATGTCATGAAATATTACTGTGTCTTAAGAATTTATGAATATGATCACTACAGCAAAGCATGGAAAGACTTAAATGAACTGCAAGCAGATCCAAGAAAACAAACAATATATCCAATGACGTCAGCGATATAAATAGACAACCACCAGGAAACAATCAAAAGTGAATGCTACAAAATTACAAAGAATATACATGGCCCCAAAGAAGAGAAAATAGATAACACCTCTACTCCACTCCTTTGAAGAAGTGTGAGGTCCATAGTTTGTGGAACTTTGCTTATGTTTTCAGACTTTTTCATTGTATTGATTGGTTTTGCTGGTTTTTTCTTTTCCTTTCTTAATGTTTCCTTGATGTTTTAATATTCCTTAATGTTTCCTTAATGTTTTAATCCTTAAAAAATATCATTTGTTATATAGGATAACTCTCAGGGAAGGGAAGGAGGAGAGATATTAGGAGAAATTTTGGCAATCTTTTTGATAAAAGATATCAATAAACATGTATTCTTAAAAATAAAGTGTACTCCCAACTTTTCTTGTCCTCGACCTTTTAAAAGTTGGCATATAGTTTACTTGACAGTGAAGTGTAAAGTAATGCTGTCTTTATCATGCCTGGCTCCTCCTTCCTTTCATGCTTGCTATATCAGCAGCTTTCTAAATTATCTCTGTTTTGCCATAGAACTTCATCTGGACTATAGAACCTATTAGTAGAAGTCATCAAAAACTTATTTATGAGAAAAGGAGCATCAGAAACTACTTGATACAGTTTTCTAATGATAGCTTTTCTGTTGCTTTTATTTTTATATCCAGTTTTTTGGCACACACCAAGAATGTTTCCTGGTCTCATTATCTGCTTTTATCCCATAGCAGTATGCTTCCATTATGATCTGTATGATGTCATTTGTATAAGTTTTTAATGGACTTAGAGCTAGACTAGACAACATGAAGGAAACTCATTCTGCCTTTATTCCCATAAGATATTCTGCTTCTATGATTCTGTGTCTTTCAGGGCTACAGGATGGCAACTCATACATTTATTCAGTCAGATTCTTCTCCAGAAGAAATACAAGTCAGAAGATTAAGAACTACTGACCTTGTGAAAAAAAATTTGTGGCGTCTCTCCAAAAAAGAACAGTAAGAGATCATTGCCTGTGGAATTCCCCCTCCCCACATACTCTGTGGGCATTGATTTGATTTGTAGCACTTGCCAATTTTTTTGCTTCTGAAAATAGCAGAAGAACTTTCTTAACTACTTGATATGGCCCAGGAAAAATAAGAGGCAAAGGTCATGGAGAAAAATAAACACACAAAGAGTTCATTTCTCTAATCCCCCCTTTCATTTACATTAGTTCCTAAACTTTAGCTTCAAGAAGGACCTTAGAGATTTTCTGAGGGGAAGCAACACGTTTCAGGTAAGACCTGAAAAGCAGAGCTGAGATGAAAACCTGATATCTCTCACTCCAAATCCAGCGTTCTCTCAACTTGACCGTGCTGCCTCTTAATTGGAATTAAACTAGCTCTAGCTTCTTTACCTACTCAGAACTGAGTACCACCAAGAAGGCATATACTACTAATAGTATATATTTTGTGTTATGCAATAATAATAGCTAGCATTTTATAGCACTTCAAGGTTTGAAAGCTTTCTACAATATTAACTCATTTTATCCTCACAACAACCATAAGAGGTAGGTATAGATGAGGAAACTGAGGCAAGCAGAGGTTAAGTGGCTTGCCTAGTGTCAGGGAGCTAGAGTGTGTCTGAGGTCTTATTTGAACTCCAGTCTTCCTGAATTAATTAAGGTCCAGGGCTCTATCTGATGGGGTGCTTGGGTGCTTGTGTTTGGGTGCTTGTGCTTAGACCCTAATTTCTCCCTAGCCTCAAAAACACTATCCCTGACAGTTTCTCCTCAGCCCAAGGACACTGTGCCTAGAAATTATTCATGAGTGGACCCCAGCAAGACCCTTATCTCTTTCCCTGGTGCAGTTACAAACAGCACCTGAAGGAATTATTAGTTTGAACTGGCTTTGCACTGGGTCATAACGACATTCTTACCCACTGGACTATCTATACTACCTCCCTACCTCACTGTCTACATCCTGGACTCCTCATTATCTGTATTCTAGACTTAAGACATACGTATACTCCCTGCTTCTATCTTGTCGAACAAGACATTGACTGGTGGCAGACTGGACAACTCTCAGTTACCCCTGACCTCTAGTTAACTTAGTGACAGCAGGCCTAAAACCACACCTCCACGTGGCCCCCCGTTGTGGGCTTTTCCTAGTGAGCTCTGGGTAAAACGCCTGCGCAGTAGATACAAGAAGTGCATGTTCCTTTAAGAACTGACCACTCCTTAACCACTCCCTAATCCCACCTACATATTTGGCACATGTTTTATTGTATTTTATCCTATATAAACTTTAACTGTACCACTCTAAGGTTGCAGGTTCCTCAAGAATCCTTGCCCGCTGAAAAACGTAACAATAAAACTTTTTGGCAACTTGACTTAAAGAATGCTTGAGTCTGTGAATTCATTCCAGATGACCCCTTCCTATACTCTAGTCTTTGAGGGATCTCAACCTCTCAGACCGAAACATATCCACTGCACTAACTAGCTGCATCTTTTCTCCCAAATAACAGTTAAGTACCTACTGTGTTCCTGATACTGTGCTAAGTGTTTTGAGTATGCTTAGTATAAAAGCAAACAAAATGGTCCCTGCCCTTAAGGAGCGTAAATTCTACTGGGAAGAAGGTAACACTTCCTGGGGGAATTGCAAAAGACTAGGCTCATGGAGGGAGGGCCCCCCTCACCCCCCAATAGCCCTAGGCTCTGCTAAAATGGAAACGATCATAGTAGTCAGAGAGCCTGAAGCCACTAAGTCGAGCTTTAGTCATCCTTTGTAGCATCAGGCTTTGGATTTGGTAGATGCTTAAAAATCTTTTTTGAATGACCTTGAACTTCATAGGAAAAGTCTTCAGTCACCAATTCCCCACTGACAGTTTCATTTCCTAGCCTAATGAAACTCCAAGATACACTCAAAGTTCTGTATAATGGCTGGTCCTGTGTCCTTGCTGAGACTGGAATGGGGATGTGGCAGAATTTTGAAATAGGTAGTGTTTTGTGCTTTCTCTTCTCCAGTAGTTTTAGGAGTAAATGAAACAGAACGATATGTTTGTCTGATTTATCTGGTTAGGCAGCCGTGGACCACATTTTCTTAAGTGTGTCTGAACTAACCAAGAAGCAGCGATTAGGGTTCAGGGGACATTTTTGTAATTTTGTCCTTGCTAAACTTTCTCAGTAAATATCCATTTGTAAAAGCTTTTTTTAAAAAGCTTTAAGTAAACAGAAGAAAGCAACACTAAGATACTAAAACACCACGCTTAAAAGTAGTTGAACTATGATGAATTATAATGATTATAATGAACAATCTCAGTCTTTGAGAATTTAAGAAAACACCCCTCTTCCTGTCAGAGAGGATGGAACTATGGATATTGTCATTTTAAGTAACTTCTTCATTCTTTCCTCTCTTGACTGGGTTCTGAAGGGTTTCCCCATCCCAGGCAGTGCCAAGGGGCGCAGCATCCCTGCCACCACTGTGAACTCACAGATGGAGCCCTTCCTCCTAAGCAACTGGGCCTTCCCAGGGAGAAACCTCACTTTAGTTTAGGGTGATTTACCATCATACTTACTAAATCTCCATTCTGCCAGCTAAGTCATAACCAGGAATTATTTATTCAGTAATCACAGAACAGTTCTGGAATTCAGGATCCCCCATTTATTCACTCCAAAGTTCTTTTGTCGGTCATATGCAGATGAGCGCTTGCCCTGAGTAAGCACACTGCCTCTGCAGTCAGCTCTTCGTTTATTAAGTTTTGTGTATATTAAGTTTGGTTTTCTCTTTCTTTCAGTAAGCAAAATTGTCAAAGCCTGTCAAAACTTTTAAGCAATAAAAGGTTCTATGAGGCTAGCAATGTAAGGGAAATGACTAGTATTAAAACAAATCAGTAACAAGTCAACAAGCATTTATTAAGCTCCAGTTATGTACCAGGCACTCTGCTAAGCCCTGGGTTATAAAGAAGACAAAAACAGCCTCTACTCTCAAGGAGCTCACAATCTAATGGCATAGGCAACATGTAAGCATCTATGTATGAATAAGATATATGCAGGGTAAATTAAGGGGGACTAGAAAAGGCTTTTTGCAGAAGATAGGATTGTAGCTGAGACTTGAAAGGTAGTAGGGAACACAGAAGACAGAGATGAGAAAGGATATCATTCCAGGATTAGGGAATACCCAGTGAAAATGCACAAAGATGGAGTCTTATATATGAGGAGCAGAAAGGCAGGCATAAAACTTTTTCAAAGGAAGCAGTTATTACTTTGCTCAAGGCTATATAAGTCTAAACACTTTTTTGAGATGTTAGGAAACTAATTATAGTGATAATAACATTGTTGAGGGGAGGGTTTGTTTTTTTCAAGGCATGGCAGGGTGTTAAGTGACTTGCCCAATGTCACACAGCTAATAAATGTCAAGTGTCTGAGTTCAGATTTGAACTCAAGTCTTTTTGACTCCAGGGCTGGTGCTCTATTGAAAAAGACTAATCGAGAATTATCATTATTAGCAATTAAATAAGATCTCCCCTTTGTGTGTGATCTAAAATGACTATTGGAGAAAAAAAATGTGCTGTTCTTGACTTACTTGTGTTCCTTCTCTCTACTTTTCTTGGCAGGATCACATATACTTATGGACCACTGTATATGGGGACAACTTCATCTTTATGTGGATTCTTGGCAAACTACCTTTTCAGGAATTGTATGAAGGTTAAACAGCATCCTTTTAAAACATTTGTGCCATTGTCTGCAATTCCATTTTTGACCACTGCAGTAACTTATAAGTTCCTTGTAACAGATCCCCTAAGTTCTGGTGAGTATTCATTTTGGAATACTTAATTTGAGAGCTACTATCTCAAAGATACGTAAGTGGAATGCCAAAATTTTACACACCCAAGCCATTTAACTTAATATACCTACAGAGTATACCAAAATATCTTTAAATAGCTATTAAAGCTTAAAATGACACTTAGATGTTTGAAATACCATAGATGGATGGATGGATGGATGGATGGATGGATAGATAGATAGATAGATAGATGGTTATACCTGTCCCTGTACTTGAACCTTCGAATTTTTATCAGTCTCAGTCTGTTGGTCAGTTAATATGTAAGACTTCTCCAAATTACGTGGGTGACTGGCAAAAACCCTGAATTTCATGTAATTGTGGATATTTTATATGGTAAGGAAATTGGAGTATGACTAGAGGACAATGTGCAGTGGAGTTGAGACTTGGGAGGTCTAAGGAAGGAAAAAAGAGCCCCTTTTGGTCCAGTGAGCCTTTTATATGTTAGTAGGAATACAGTTCTGCAGCTGGCCTGTGATGGAGATGTGTGCCCTATTCCATGAGTTCCTGTCCCTTCTTCCATACTTCTATACACTCACACTCTTCTCCACACACACCACCCCTCCCGTCAGCCTGGACCTCATTATGCCCAGTGTATTTTTCTGTGAACTCAGCTTTTATTTTCAGTTCTACCTTGCCTTGGACATTTAGCCCTAGGCTATTCCTGTCATGGTGCCAGCCTATACCAGTCTAATGAAGCTTCCCAGAAGGGTGATCATGCCATTAGGGTATTTACTTAACCTCAGCTATATAGTTAATAGAGGAATGGAAAATGGAGACATCTCTGTACAGATATGTAAAATTCACTGCACATGACTTTGCTGACACAGACCCTGTTATATTCCAGGTGATCTAACCGCAGACATGAGTATTTTGAGAGGTGCCTGTGTTTCTGTGTTATGTGGTGTCTTTCATCCCTCTGCTTTAGCCTTTTTAAAAAATGGGCGTCTGGCAGTCAAGTAAGTCTCTCACTTTTTTGTTTGTTTGTTTTCTTATCTGCCCTCATTCTCTAACAGCCAATTATATCACTTTTAATCAAAGGAAAATATTTTTGTATTATAAAATTGTTGAATTTAACTTATATGACACATTTATGTTGCAAATAAGCTACATGGTAAGAGTTGCTGTTTTGACAAGCTGTTGGTCATATATGTTTGCAGGAAACTGATCAGCTTTTTTTCTTTAGGTACGAAACTGTTCCATTACCTCCAAGAGGAAGGAGTTTACTCCACTGGACTATACTCTGTCAGTCTGCTGCAAAGCTGATGGTTATTCCCATGATCGTGCAGACTGTGTATGGAGGACATCTTGCTTTCATGCAACATAAAATATGTGAGAGGATATTTGAAATGCTTGAACATGACTGACTTAAAAATTAATCTTTTAATGTATATGATGCAGTTTGGAGCATTTCATGAAAGAGTTAAATGTAAATCAAAAGCAAGCAACATAATGTATAATACATGAACAAATAAAAATTATGTGATGTCCTTGACTAAAATACAGGCTCCAGGAGAGAAAGGATTAAGAATGATGATAATAATAGCAACATAAATATGGCACTCTGAGTTTTACAAAGAGCTTGCAAATATTACCTCATTTGATCCTTATAACAACCCCATGAGGTAGGGGCTATTTTTATCCCCGTTTTACAGATGAGGAACCTGAGGCTGAGAGAAGTTAAGTGACTTGTCCAGGGTCACATACCTATTAAGTGTCTGAGCCTGGATTTGAATTCATGTCAGTCGTGACTCCAATTTCAGCACCCTATCCACTGCTCTTCTTAGCTGACTTTTCTATGTGTATATTCTCTTTAATGCCTGGAATATCTCACTGGGGGAGAGTGTTGTTTAGTTTTTTTGTTTTTGATTAATTTTTTTTAATTAACAAATTAATTTTCTCTCTCATAACTACCCCTCCATTGAAAAGAAAAAATGAGACTTTTGTTAACAAATATGCATAGTCAAGCAAAACAAATTCCTACATTGACCATATTCAAAACATCCACACACACACACACACATACATGTTTCTCATTCTGTACTCTAAGTCCATCACTTCTTTGTGAAGAGGTAAGTAACAAGCTTCCTCCTCAGTCTTCTAGAATCTTGGTTGGTCATTGCATTGATCAGAGTTCTTAAGTGTTTCAGAGTTGTTTATTTTTACAGTATTGTTGTTATTGGATAAATTGTCCTCCTTTTTCTATTCACTCTTCATCAGCTCATACAAGACTTACCAGGTTTCATTGAAACCATCACATCATGCCCATCAGTTGGGGAATGGCTGAACAAGTTGTGGTACGTGATTGTAATGGAGTACTACAGTGCCATAAGAAATGGCAAACAGAGTGATTTCAGAAAAACCTAGAAAGATTTAATGTGAACTAATGCAAAATGAAGGGAGAACCGGGAGAACAGTATATACAGTAACAACAATATTGTAAGGGTGATCAACTGTGAAAGACTTAACTACTCTGATCAGTACAGTGGTCCAAGACAATTCAGGACTCATGATGAGCAATACTGTCCACCTCCAGAGAGAGAACTGATGAACTCTGAGTGCAGTTGAGACATGCTATTTTTCACTTTCTTTATTTTTCTTGGGTTTTTGGTTTTTTTTGCAATATGACTAATATAGAAATGTGTTTTGTGTGACTTCACATGTATAACGGGTATCACGTTGCTTACCTTCCCAGTGGGTGGGGCAGAGGCTAGAGAGAAACAAAGATTTAGAACTCAAAAATTTTTTAAATGAATGTTAAAAATAAATAAATAATTTTAAGACCATCTCTTCATCTTATTGCACAATAGTATTACATTGCATTCATACACCATAATTTGTTTACCATTCCCCATTTGATGGGGACTCCTGTAGCTTCCAGTTCTTTGTCACTACAAAAAGAACTCCTATAAATATTTTTGTACATGTGGATCCTTTTCTCTTTCTTGAATCTCTTTGAGGGACAGACCTAGTAGTAGTATAGCTACTATACCAAGTCCAAGGATTTGGACAGGTTAATGACTTTTGGGGCATGGTTCAAAATTGCTTGCCAGAATGGCTGTACCAGTTAGTTCATAGCTTCACCCAACAGTTTGGAGGCGAATGTTAATAAATATTTGCTAACTATAAACTTCCATTATTTCTGAAATGGATAGCCATCGCAGACCACTGAAAATTCAACCAATTAGTTTTTAAAAATGAAAATAATAAGGTTTTAAAACTATTTAAATCAGCTTTAGAACTCATGCCATTAAAAAAAAAAACTAAAATTAAACTAAAAACTAAAAAAAAAAATACTACATGCTGTACTTATTATTCAGGATATAATAACATATAGCACTTTTAAGTTATACAAAGCACTTTTTCCACAACAGCTGTCAGATAATAAAAGTATCATTATTTTACATATGAAGAAATTGAGTCCTGAAATTTAAGTTACATGCCCATAGTCACCAAACATAAGTATTGGGGCCCAGATTCAAACTCATTCTCCTCTTGCATGTACAGCTATTGTCCTTTAGGTATCTCAGTTGTGAGAAGGAAAAATAGTTAAGAAACACTGATTGAAAGAGGCCATGGCATGCTGCAGAGGAGAAGAAGGAAAACTCTCACAGGAGGGTTATTATGATCTGTTGGAGATGGTCCAAAAGTAGGTCAGAGAAGCCCTCCTTTCAGGCCGTTGTTCCCTGAAACTTCACCCTGTAGAGATAGAAAAATTAAGGAGCAGGGCCAGAGGCTCTTTTCTGCATTATATGGGTCAAATATATTGTGACATATCCCTAAGATGTGGTTTTTGTTATAATGTAGATGCCACCAGCATCATAAACTTATGAGTTATTATGTAAAAAGTAAGAATCCTAGAACTAAGAAGCATGGCATTGTGGAAAAGAGCCCTGGTTTAGGGTCAGAGGGCCTAAGTTCAAATCTCAAATCTTTCTCTGTGAACCTGAGCAAATCACTTACCCTCTCTGGTTCCCAGTTTCCTTACCCATAAAATCGCAGGGTTTAGAGGGACTAGATGTCTCTGGTCCCTTCCAACTCTGAATCTATGATCATTTCAATGTAAGGTGGGAATCCTAGCCAGTGGGGGGGTGGGGGGCCAGGTAGTGGTGAGTGTAGGTGTAGGAGGGTGGTAAGGAGGAGGCCTTAGTATGGTTCCTTTTGCTACTTCAGATAAGTGGAACTTTAATATCTGAGTCACTATGGCAACAAGCTGGACCTCCCAAAAAAGAGAATATGTTACTCAGAATGGTATGTTCTGCTTAACATTTGACCTGCCACTTTGTCCATGTTCCCCAAATGATTCATATTCCATACATATTTCCAAAGAAGAAAATTTAGGGCTAATCCAGATAGAAAAAGTAAGTTGGAACAGATACTTTCCATATTTCATCTCAATTTCATTTATACACAGGGGCAGCTAGGTAGCACAGTGAATAGAGCACCAGCACTAGAGTCAGGAGGACCTGAGTTCAAATTCAGCCTCAGACCTATAACACTTACTAGCTGTGTGATTCTGGGCAAATCACTTAACCCCATTTGCCTCACCAAAAACAAAACAAACAATTTCATTTATACACGTAAATGGAGTTAACGATACTCTTGTTTCATGTTCATGAATTAAAAATTTGGTTTGATAGTTAAAAAAAAAAAATACTCATCCAGAAGTACACAGAAAACTGAGAAGGCTTTCTAAGAACTATTCCACATGATCCATCTTTGCAAGAGAATGCATGACTGTTTTCACTGTTTTTGACTCTTGGAAAAGTTGGATACTGTAGCTGTCAGTCTGAGAAAACTTTGAGCCAGTCACCACATTCTGACAGTGAAAACTGGGAGAGCCAAAGTGAGAGAGGCAGCAGAGCACAGGGCTTGGTCTTCTTGTCATTTTCTTCTTAGCTTATATTTAACATTATAGTTGTTGTTCTTTAGTCGTATCTGACTCTTCGTGATCCCATTTGAGATTTTCTTGGCAAAGGGACTGGAGTAGTTATTTTACAGATGAGGAAGCAGACAAACAGAGGTAAGTGACTTGCCCAGGGTAATACAGCTAGTAAGTGTCTGAGGCCAAATTTGAACTCAGAAGATGAATCTTACCAACTCCAGGCCCGATACTGTATCCACTGTGACACTTGGCTGCCCTAATATTATACTACCCACAGATCTAAAGGTATGCAAAAGGGATTTAATATCCAATGTAATATTGACCATGCTATCTTCTATTAACTGGTTGCTCTCTCTCTTCAATTTATTTGTCCATTCAAAAACATTGATTCAGCATCGACAATGCCATCATTGTGTTTATATTTTTTTACTCCTTTCTCTAATAGTTTTCTCTTTCCAACCATCTTCCCTCCTTTGCTTTCCTCTTTCCAGCTTTGTGACATTCAATGTTTAGTTTTTGGAATGACCAGATTTAGTCAATTTAGACCAAATTAGTCAGATGAGGCAGAGTGGAGTATTAAGGAGAGAGAAAACTGGCAGACCTGGCTTCAAAATCCCACCTCCAACACAGACTGGCTGCGTGTAACCTTGGGCAAGTCATTTAACCCTGGAGTGCCCCCAGGTAACTCAGACCATGTTATCTAAACCATATCTGCTCATCTTTATTCATAGAGGGAGCTTCCTCATCAGAACTCCTTCTACTGGTAAAATCACAAGTCTAGTCCAAAAATCAAAAGTTAATAAAGAAAACAACCTTGTGCAGGTCATTAGGAGCAGCAAGGTACTATAGTAGAAAGATCAGAATTGTCAAGTTGAAAGGGACCTCAAAGGTCAGCTAGGTCAAGCCCACTCCATGGCATGAATCCCTTTTACAGTATCCCTGTAACCAGTAGTCCTGGTCCCCTGAAGACCTCTAGTGACCGAGAATTCACTATACTTTAAGGAAGCCTGTTACATACCAGTTGTTGAGAAATTCTCCCTTACACTGAGTCAAAATCTGCTTCCTTCTAACCTCAATTCATAGGTCCTAGTATTGTTTGGGGGGGGGGGGGTCAAACAGAACAAATAAAGTTACTTTTGCATGTGACACCCTTCTAAATGCTTGAAAACAGCTATCATTTCATTATGTCCAAAGACTTTTCCAGGAGGAACATCCCTGGTGCCTTCACCTCTTCGTTGAACCTACTCAAAGGTTTCAACATCCTTCTTAAAATGGGGTGCTCAGAACTGACTATGGAATGCCAGAGGTGACCTTTCCATAGCGAGCTTTGTATGGTCTAGTTCAGAGCACAGGAGGCTTCTTATCTCTATGGAGATTGTATTTTTATTCATGCAGCCTGAATCAGGGTTATCTTTGTCGTCAGTTATATATGAGAAATAATTATTAATAAACAATTACTAATATTGGGGACCTAGGGTTTTTTTCCCTTTCCATTTCCTCATTTAATTACTAGTTCAAGGCAGCCTCTGAAGGACAGAGTTGATGATGAGATTGGGTTCAACTTTGGTCAGGATTCCACCCAACTGAGAAAGCTCAGTTTTGATTAAAGGGTAAAAAACCATCTTATCTAGGTGGAATTCTTACTGTAACCCCACCATTGTTCTACTCAGTAGGACTGGGTGTAGATCCTTTTGTCTGGATTGCCCCGAGGTAGGGGTCATCTGGATAGAGATGAGTCTTTTTATACAAGAGTGATGTAATCAAAGTGGGGAG